AATCCATATTCCAATTTTCTCAACTGTTCACAATGTTCCCAGCCTTTGTTTCTCTCGCATGACATTTTTGAAGAACACAGGCCAGGTATCTTGTTGAATGCCATTTAGATTGGGTTTCCCAGTTGTTTCCTCATGACTGGATTCAGGTTGTTAAAAATTTTCGGCTTAGACGTTTCATAAATGATGTTGTGTTCTCAAAGTGTCGTGTCTGGAAGCACATGACATCTATCCTCGCCTCCTACATCACCATTTTATAGTTACCATTTCTCCATTTATAATTAATAAATAATCTGGTTGGGCATAGTAACTCATGCCTGTACTCCCAGCACTTTGAGGCTGCAGTGGTGGGATCACTTGAGGTCAGGAGTTCAAGACCAGCCTAGGCAACATAGCGAGACCCATCTCCTGTCTCCACAAAAAAAGGAAAAAAAGAAAACTAAATAAATAAATAAATAAATAATTCATAGGCAGTTAATTTGAGATCATGTTCATAACTTGTTCCCTGGGAAACTCCCTCCCCTCATACCAGATTTAGCACCCAGATAAACTTTACTTGAACCAATTTTTACTAGTAACATGACTACAACTTTTTTTTTTGACATGAAGTCTTGTTCTTGTTGCCCAGGCTGGAGTACAATGGCATGATCTCAGCTCACCGCAACCTCTGCCTCCTGGGATCGAGCGAGTCTCCTGCCTCAGACTCCCAAGTAGCTGGGATTACAGGCATGCACCACCATGCCCAGCTAATTTTGTATATTTTTAGTAGAGATGGGGTTTCTCCATGTTGGTCAGGTTGGTCTTGAACTCCCAACCTAAGGTGATCCACCCGCCTCGGCCTCCCAAAGTGCTGGGATTACAGGCGTGAGTCCCTGCGCCAGCTGTATTTCTCTATTTTACTAGTTAAATTAACACATGGATTATGATTTTGTTTAATCAGTTACACTCCATTTATTGTCCTTATTTATTGATTTCTTCACTTTATTTTTTTTTAAGAGGGGGCCTCGCTTCGTGCAACCTCTGCCTCTCCCAGGTTCAAGCAATTCTCCCAACTCCACCTCCCAAGTAGCTGGGATTACAGGTGCACACCTCCACACCTCACTAATTTGGTATTTTTAGTGGAGACAGGGTTGCACCATGTTGACCAGGCTGGTCTTGAACTCCCGACCTTAGGTGATCTGCCCGCCTTGGCCTTCCAAAATGCTGGGATTACAGGCGCAAGCCGCCGTGCCCAGCCTTATTGTCCTTATTTATTTTGACACTCAAATTTATCCCACACTTGACCAGTGGAAATTCCTCCAAGCTGGCTTATGGATCTTCTGAAATGTCCCCAAAATATTGAAGGGGCCTTTTTTCCCTGCCCCAGCCCCAGAATCAGTCATTTCTCCAAGAAGCCCTGGTTCACTTTAATGAATAATAGTATTTAGAATCTAAGGTCTGGGTGGTATTGGTATTTTAACTCTAAAAAAGAAAAGATATGCTTTGTAGGATCACTGTCTTCAGATCCATTAGTGAAAGAGGTACAAAAGATGATACTTGGGATGACAAGATTATAGGAGTTCTGAAAGAAAAGGGCACTTTGGAATGTATAAGCAAGTATCTCAGCTTGGCCAACCACTGTGACTTCCTCTACACAGCTCACTCACCCTGACTGTGCAGACTAAAACACTGTAACTGAGTCTTTACAGTCAAGATATTCCATGTACTTTCTCTGAAGGCGTATCCAACTCTACAAGAATGTGAAAATATTCTTCAAATTCCGTAGAAGGTTATTTGTATTTTGCCTGCTACCAAGCTCCTATGTATGGCGTAAAAGCTTTCCTTTATGCTACTAACAGAAACGAGTAAAATACCAAGAGCAAGGGCATCACGGACTAAAGAAGATCAAGAATACGGAATACAAAAAGTCTGTTTCTACTCTAGACCCAATACATTAAAACTGCACTCAGGCTAACCTTATCCACATACAATGGCCAAAGAAGTAATCAGTGTGAAATGCAAAATTTACCTGGCTAAGTTATATTAAGTGGTCTGTGAAACAAAGATACAATGGAATCTTCTTTTCTAACATGAATTTTTAAATACTTTAAGGTCTTTATCCCCAAAAGCTTTCTACAGACAAAAAGCAACTAAAGAACAAAAAATCGAAAGTACAAAACTACCATCAAAAAGATGGGGGGCGGGGAGAGACAAGAACAAAGGTAAAAACCATTCTGCATACATATTTTTGAAATAAAAGTCACCTGGACTGTTTCTTTTTTAAATAAATTACTTTTTTTTAGAGATAGTGTCTCACTCCGCTGTCCAGGCCGGAATACAGTGGCATAATCACAGCTCACTACAGCCACTAACTCCTGGGCTCATGTAATCTTCCTACCTTAGTCTTCCAAGTAGCTGGGATTATAGGTAGGTACAAGCCACGGCACCCAGCTCCAGAATTGTTTCTTTTTAAAGTACAGCCTCTGCACTAAATTGTAAATCTCCTTTCCATAGTATAATGCACACTGTATAAAGGCTTTTGAGACACACGTTTTTAAAACCACCAAGGAGAGTCAGTGAATATAAATGACAATTATGTACTTAAGTAACAGAAACTTAATTATATATATATATTTACTATTGATTATATATATTAAATAACCTAGGTTTCTGAAGTGTACACATTGAATAAAGGAATATAATGGAAAAATATTGACCCAAGAGTTAGGAGACCCGAGTTCTTACACACAAACTCACTGTGCAGCCGTGGGTAAATTAGTTAACCTTTATGGACTTTCATATTGTTATCTGCAAAATCAGGCTATTAGAGCTGATAATTTTATAATTTTCTTACTATTTTATCTGTTATCATAAATACTTATCATTTCACTACATACCATCAGGAAACAGACTTTAAGCTAAATAGGAATTAAGGATTTTTTTTTTTTTTTTTTTTTTTTGAGACAGAGTCTCGCTCTGGAGTGCAGTGGTGCAATCCTGGCTCACCGCAAGCTCCACCTCCCAGGTTCATGCCATTCTCCTGCCTCAGCCTTCCAAGTAGCTGGGACTACAGGTGCCTGCCACCACTCCCGGTTAATTTTTTTTTTTTGTATTTTTAGTGGAGACAGGGTTTCAATGGCCTTGCGCTCCCTGCAAGATTATTCTATCAGAAGAATAACTTGCATTTTAAAAAAGCTAACACTTTCTGGAGATCTACTGTGTGTGTCAGGCACTGTGCTAAGCTCTTTACATGCACTAACTCATTGAATCCTCATCACATGCCTCTGGTAGGTATTACTGTCCCTCACTGTGGACAAGACTTGGAGTTGTTAGTCCGCCCAGGGTCACAAAGCTGGTAAATGACAAAGCTAGGACTCAAACCAGGAGTGACTCCAAAGTCACCTTACTAACCACCTGGCTATCCCACCTCCTAATAAATAAATCATGAGCCCAATACATTCTTGTCTAATCTCTGGCAGGTACTAATTTTTTTCCCCTTTATAGTAGAGACAAAATTGCTGCCGGGCGCGGTGGCTCAAGCCTGTAATCCCAGCACTTTGGGAGGCCGAGACGGGCGGATCACGAGGTCAGGAGATCGAGACCATCCTGGCTAACACAGTGAAACCCCGTCTCTACTAAAAACACAAAAAACTAGCCGGGCGAGGTGGCGGGCGCCTGTAGTCCCCGCTACTCGGGAGGCTGAGGCAGGAGAATGGCGTAAACCCGGGAGGCGGAGCTTGCAGTGAGCTGAGATCCGGCCACTGCACTCCAGCCCGGGCGACAGAGCAAGACTCCGTCTCAAAAAAAAAAAAAAAAAAAAATTGCTACAACTGGCAGCCAACCAAGAAACAACTCATTTTTGTATTTTTTCTAGAGACAGGGTTTCACCATGTTGCCCGGGCTGGTCTCAAACTCCCAAGCTCAGGTGATCCATCCGTCATGGCCTCCCAAGTGGCCTCCCAAAGTGCTGAGATTATATAGGTGTGAGCCACTGCACCTGGTATCCAATCCATGTCTTACAGAGAAGTGTGATATTGGTTCTATGCAACATTTCCTTTTATTTCTTTATAATAAAACAAAAGGAAACACCAAAAGTCACAAAACCTAGAAGACCGGCAAGGATCTTAAGGGGTAACACTGTCTTATTATTCATCCTGTTGCCTCCAGTGAAGAAGACCTCATTACAATTACCATAGGGTAGGAAGTGGGGAGCAAGTGAGGGGGCTCCCAGAGAACAGGTCTTCTGACAGCATCAGTGGTGGTTCCCAGTCTCCCCCATTATTTCACATTGACTGCATAACTGAGTAACAACATAAATTTTCAGAGACTGAAGCCCAACAACAGAGATGCTTTCCTACTTCATGTTGGGCCACTTCAACTGGCTAGGCTGCTCAATTGGAGAACAACTGTGACTTAAGTGACAATCCTCTTGCTGGTTACATGGCATTTTAAGAAGCAGGGTGAATATGATCGCCTACATACAAACCCATGCACTGGAAAATAGCTACTACGGCTCACTCTCATCCCCCCAGGAGCCCAACGTGGGCCTTTTCCTATATTTTCTCAATACACTTTCTCAAGACACAAGTTGTCTCTCAAGCTCTCAAGCAGAAAATCTCTCTCAGATGACTTTCAAGCCTAGAAATCACCATTTCTGACAAGCTGTGAACAGTGAGGGTATTACACCACAGAACAAACCAGGATCCACAAATAAAGGCACAAAAAACAAAACATCCAAAGAAACAGTCATTTGGATGGGGATGAATTTCATAAACAAAACTACCTATTTCAATTCTCTTTATTCCTCCTACAGAGTAAACAAATTTCTCTAAAACATAATGTCTTTCAACCAAAGGAGTATTGGTTTCATATATTGTCTGACCCTCAAACCCAATTTCAGTCTCAAATCTGAGCTGATGTTCTCAAAAAGTTGATAGAAATTACAAAGCTGAGCCTGTGAGCCTTGTGGATCTACTCTGTGTCTCACTCAGGCAGAGAAGAAAAAAAGAGTATCAGAACATTACCCTTCTTTGATCCGACCCTGGAAGACGCACTGAAGAATTTCTTCACTGTGGTAACTTTGCGGGTCTTCTCGTTGGTTTTCTTTTCTTCAAACTTGGAGAATGTGAGGGATTGGGCCCCTTGGCTGCTCTGACTGCTGGCAAAGGCCTCTTCTTCCTCCCGCTGGAGTCTGCAATTCAAGAAAGGATTAGAATGATCTAGATATTCTCCAAGGTTCTCTGTATCTGAAGATTATTACTCCATTAATTCAGGAGGATCTAAAGATTTTAGAACTAGAGACTAAATATACCAAATCAGCCTGAGGTCTCACATAGCTACAGGATGGACTGCTCTTCATGCACTACAGATTTCAAATGGGATCTTCTCATGCTCATTCAGCAACTGCTCTAGGGCTACATGAAAGAAATCAAGTCTAGTCCTTTTCCCTAACAAGCTCAGGGTTAGAACAGACGAAAAGGTAAGTAAACTGCTACATAATGGGACAGCTGCTACATTAGAGAGTAAAAATTGAGTGCTGTGAGAACACAGGAAAGAACAACTCAATCTGCTGGAGGAGTCTGTTGGTGCCTTACAACAGTGATGTTTGGGCTGGGTCTTAAAGGATACATAGGATCCTTTTTTGTTTGTTTTTTATTGAGACAGAGTGTCATTCCATCACCCAGGCTGGGACGCAATGGTACGAACTTGGCTCACTACAACCTCTGCCTCCCAAGTTCAAGCAATTCTCCTCCCTCAGCCTTCCAAGTTATTGAGACTACAGGCACACACCACCATGCCTGACTAATAAGGCCGAATAGTATTCTAAGTGAAAGGATATTCCAGGAAGAAGGAACTATAAATGTGCAAGCCTGTGGTTTGCTTCACAACAAGGTGAATGTAGCCAGAGCACTGGGCGTGTGATGAACTGTGATGCTGGATACACAGGAAGGCACCAGAGGGTAAGGAATCTTGACTGCTAAGCCCACTATTCTGGATTTCATCATGTGGTGGGGAAGAAAGACTGTAAATCCAAAAAGTTATCGTTGTCAGATCTGTGCTTTAGAAAGATCATGCAGGTAGCTGTGTGAACAACCTGAAGGGTAGAGAAACTAGAGACAGGGACAAGAAGTAAGAGTATATTATAAACGTTTAAGTAAAAGAAAATAAGTACCTGGGAAATAGCAGTAGAAAAGGTAAAATTCAGAAGCCTTTTCTGAGTTGGAAGAAATAGAACTTGGTCAAATTGTAGGTAGCAAGGGAGATGAAACAAAAATCAAGAATGAAAACAAGATTTTTTAGCTAACTTGGTAAAGAGTGATGCCATTAATTGACTCAAGAGAAGGATTAGGAGGAAAATGTTCAGAATGGGGAGAATAATAAATAAAAGCAATAAAATTTGGCTTTGGATTAGCTGCATGTGAACCATCTGTAATAATTACCAAACACAGGCTGGATATGGTGGCTCATGCCTATAATACCAGCACGCAGGGAGGCCAATGCGCTCAGCCGGATCACTTGAGTTCAGGAGTTTGAGACCAGCCTGGGCAACATGGTGAAACCCTGTCTCTACATAAAATACAAAAACTAGCTGGGCATGGTGTCGTGCTCCTGTAGTCCTAGCTACTTGGGAGGCTGAAGTAGGAGGATCATTTGAGCCCAGGAAGCAGAGGTTGCAGTGAGGCAAGACCGCACCACTGCACTCCAGCAGGGATGACAGAGCAAGACCCTGTCTCAAAACAAACAAACAAAAAACTCAAGCACTATCTATAAGACAGTGGTTCTCCAAGTGTGACTCCCCAGACAGTAGGAGCATCATCACCAGGCAACTTTTTAGAAATGCAAATCATCTAGTCTTACTCCTAAGCTACTAAAATCAGAGACTCTGAGGGTAAGGTCCAGCAGTCACTGCTTTTACAAACTTTCCAAGTGATTTAGCAGGGTCACAATTAAAAGCAGTAAGAAACAGAAATGCCTATCTCCATTCTTCCACTCCAAGGAGCTTACTGTCTAAATTTGAGAACTAAGACTAACACAACCCAAAGAAAATAATCAGAAGTTAAGACATACACAAAATGAAGAAACTACTGAAAGCTGTTCATCAAAGGCTGACTGAGAAGAAGAGGGGAAAACATCCTTCTCCTTAATATTAAACTGACGTGCTGATAGGTCAATGCAGAAGAGAAAAATGTATTTCAACGGTGACGGAACTATGTATCCAGTCACGTCACTGTTCAACCACTCCTAGTTAAGTCCTTTTACTGCTCTGCCAGCTCCCAGTCCTCTTGCATCTCCTTCAGCCTGGTCTTGTGGTACTCTTCCCTCCAGTACTTGGAGCAGAAACCCTGCCAGGCTGGGTTGCCGTAGTAACCACATCCTTTCTTGCACAGGATCCATATGAATTCCTCCGCGTTCGGACTTCGGGCTCATCTTCTTCCTGCTAACCAATGAACAAACAACAAAGTGTTGTTGAAAATGAATCATCATTCTACTAACTAAAATCTTACCAATTATGAACAAAAAGTGAGTGATTCCATTATCTTCAAGCCGTAAGAGAGGGAAGAAGGAAATGAAGGAGGGAGGGAAGGAGGGAGGGAAAGAGGGGAGGAAGGAAGAAGAAAAAAAGGTATATATAGTAAATTCCTGCCACAGTTATATTAAAGAAAGACTTACTCCCTGCCCAAAATACAAAGAACCCATTAAGAAAGAGCTAACATTAGATTAAAGACCTAAATGTATAGGCTTGAAACTAGAAAACTCCTGGAAGAAAACTTAGGGGAAAAGCTTCCCAACACTGGATTTTGCAAGGACTTCTAGGATATGACACCAAAAGCACAGGCAACAAAAGCAAAATCAGACAAATACATTAATTCCATCAAACTTGAAAATGCCTGCACAACACAGGAACCAAATGACAGAGTAAAAAGGAACAACACACAGAAAGGGAGAACATATCTGCAAACCACATATCTAATAAGGGGTTAATATCCAGAATATAAAGGAACTCTTACTACTCAATAACAAAAAAAAAACAAGATAATCTGGTTAACAAATGGGAAAAGGACTTCAATAGACAATTATCCAAAGACATACAAACAGCCAATAAACATGTGAAAAAGTGCTCAACATCACTAATCAGGGAAATGCAAATCAAAAGCTTCGTACCCATTAGGATGACTACTATAAAAAAAAATGCAGTTTTTGACGCAGTGGCAAATAAGCATATAAATACTTGTTCAACATCGTTCAGTCATTAGAGAAATGCAAATTAAAACCACCATGAGATATCACTCAAACCATTAGAATGGCTAAAACAAAAAATACTGACACAGCCTGGGCAACATGGCAAAATCCACTCTCTACCAAAAAATACAAAAAAAAAAAAAAAAAAAAAAAAAAAAAAAAAAATTAGGCAGGGATGGTGGTGCATGGATACAGTTCCAGCTACTCAGTAGGCTGAGGTGGGAGGATCACTTGAGCCCGGGAGGTGGAAGCTGCAGCAAGCCAGTATCATCACACCACTGCACTTCAGCCTGGGTGACAGAGACCCCACCTCAGAAAAAAAATAAATACTGACAATACCAAGTGGTGGCAGGGATGCAGAGCAACTACAACCCTCATACATTCCTAGTGGAATACAAAATAGTACAGACACTAGAGAAAACACTTTTATAGTTTCTCAAAAATGTATACATACAATGACCATCCAACCATGTAATCCCTCTCCTGGGTATTTCCTCTAGAGAAATAAAAACTGCTATTTACAAAATTCTATACACAAACAGTGATAGTAGCATTATTTGTGATGACAAAAAAATGACAACTAAAATATCCTTCAATGGGAGAATGAATAAACAAACTATGGTACATCCACACAACAGAATGCTACTCAGGAAAACAACAACAGGTATCAGTACACCCAACAACTTCGATGAATCTCAAAGGCTTTATGCTGATAGAAGCCAGCATCTTAGTTCCTTCTGGCTGCAGGAACAAAATACCATAAACTGGGTAGGTCACAAAAAACAGAAATTTATTTCTCACAGTTCAGGAAGCTGGCAAGTTCAAGATCAAGAAGTCATCAGATGTTGGTGTCTGGTGGTTCAATGAAGGTACCTTCTCCCTGTGTCCTCACATGGTGGGAGGGGAAGACAGGCTAGGCTCTCTGCAGTCTCTTTTAAGGGCACTTATAAGCCCCAGTCATGGGGGCTCCACTTTCATGAACTACTCACCTCCCAAAGGCTCCACCTCCTAGTAGCATCACCTTGCAGTTTAGATTTTCAACATACAAATTCAGGGGACACACAAAGATTCAGACCATAGCAGCCATCTTAAAAGTTTACACATTGTATGATTCCATTTAGGAACTAAGCATAGGAAAGAAAGGATGTGACTATAAAGGATTAGCACAAGAAAATTTTTTGGGTGATGAAACTTCTGTATTCTGATTGTGGAGGTGTTTACATAAATCTATTAAAATTTTAAAATTCCGGCCGGGCGCAGTGGCTCATGCCTGTAATCCCAGCACTTTGGGAGGCCGAGGCGGGTGGATCACAAGGTCAGGAGATCGAGACCATCCTGGTTAACATGGTGAAATCCCAACTCTACTAAAAATACAAAAAAATTAGCCGGGTGTGGTGGTGGGCGCCTGTAGTCCCAGCTACTTGGGAGGCTGAGGCAGGAGAATGGCGTGAACCCAGGAGGCCGAGATCGCACCACTGCACTCCAGAATCGGCGACAGAGCCAGACTTCGTCCCCCCAAAAAAAAAAAAAAAAAAATTCCCAGAACATTATACTCCTCCCAAATCAATTTTACTCTATGATTAAAAACAAAAATAATTGGCCAGACATTACTCATGCCTGTAATCCCAGCACTTTTGGAGGCAGAGGCGGGTGGATCACCTGAGGTTAGGAGTTCGAGACCAGCCTGGCCAACATGGTAAACGCTGTCTCTACTAAACACACAAAACTTTGCCAGGAGTGGCGGCAGACACCTGTAATCCCAGCTACTCAACAGGCTGAGACACGAGAATCACTTGAACCAGGCAGATGAAGGTTGCAGTGAGCCAAGATCACACCACTGCACTCCAGCCTGGGCAACAGAGCAAGATGCCATCTCAAAATAACAAAAAACAAAACAAAACAAAACTTGAGAGGCAATTTCTAGGTTGGATTAGGGAGAAGTACAGAACAGGAGACATGGAAACTGACCAAGAACCAACTACACTTAGAGGACTAGAGGTAACACAGTGGGTAGCCAGGTATGGTGGCGCTGACCTGTATGTAATCCCAGCTACTTGGGAGGCTGAGGCACAAGAATTGCTTGGACCCGCAAGGCAGAGACTGCAGGAAGCTGAGATCGCACCAGGGCACTCCAGTCTGGGCAACAGAGTGAAACCCTGTCTCAAAAATAAATAAATAAATAAATAAATAAATAAATAAATAAATAAATAAATATGTAACACAATGGGAATGGAAAGACGACAGATGGAAATCTACCTTAGAGGTAAGATCTGTAATAGTTACTTAATGAGACTTGGCAGGGAGAGGGAAATCAAATAACATAAAGAAATCCTGGCCAGGCACGGTGGCTCATGCCTGTAATCCCAGCACTTTGGGAGGCTGACACGGGCGGATCACCTGAGGTTGGGAGTTCAAGATCAGCCCGACCAACATGCAGAAACCCCGTCTCTACTGCAAATACAAAAAAATTATCCAGGCATGGTAGTGCATGCCTGTAATTCCAGCTACTCAGGAGGCTGAGTTTGCTTGAACTCGGGAAGCAAAGGTTGCAGTGAGCCGAGATGGTGCAATTGTACTCCAGCCCCGGCAACAAGAGCAAAACTCTGTCTCAAAAAAAAAAAAAAAAGAAATCCTGACTTATTCCATCAAAAAGGGAGTAAGTGGCAGAGTCATCACTAAGCTTCCCCATTTTTTTTTTTTTTTTAGAAGACAGGGTCTGTCAGGCTGGAGTACAGTGGTGTGATCACAGCTCACTGCAGCCTTGACTTCCCAAGCTCAAGCAATACTCCCACCACTCAGCCACCATGGCTGGCTAATAGTTGTATTTTTTTTGTAGAGGCGATGTTTCGCCACGTTACCCATGTGGTCTTGAACTCTAGGGCTCCAGTAAGCCTACACTTAGTATGCCAAGTCCTGGGTTTCAAATTATTTTGAAAGTTTGAGCTAATCTTGCCATCATCATCCTGCTGTCCCTTCCCTTCCAAGAGAAATGGGCAAAAGGAAACACCTATTTTTTCGCATAGATCAATTAACTTTTTAAAAGTTTGTACTGTAAGTATGATAGTACTAGTCGATGTTACTAAAATAAACACAGTTTGGGGAGTCTGCCTAGCACATGTGCAAATACCTCCCGTGTATCAGGAAACTGTCCTCTCAATCCACAAAGATAAGCTGGCAGCAGCTACATTTATATAAGGTGAATGGTCCCCCAATTCAGGGTCACGGTTGATTCTCTCTAACTGTGTTAGAGTCTTTTGCTTGGAGTTTTGGAAATGGGACTAACTCGGGGCTGTTCTCTTGAATGATGGAACTGTGTAACATGATCATCTTCCATCAAGTGGTCTGAGTATCAGGACAGTCTACACAGTGAAATAGACATACCCCAAGAGGCAGAGAAAAGTAGAAGGCCCGGTAGGTCCTGAGTGATTTCAACCTCCCAGATCCAATCCCTGGCTAAGGTTTAGCTGCATGCCCACCCTCAGATTCTGAGACATACATACTGGTTTCCTAACTGCTTTTTTCTTTTTTTCTTAAGCTGGTTCCAGTAGAGCCTATTATCTATGCCAAAAGACTTCTACAGATGCTCTTTAAGAGCTAGAAAAACACAAAGGAATGCTCTGTGCATTACTTGGCATGAGTGCTCTGTGCATTACTTGGCATACGTTAAAAGCTCTATATGTATTAGACAGAAACAATAACAATAGCTCTGAGCCTAAGAAGACTGATTTGGTGGCCAGGCACGGTGGCTCACGCCTGTAATCCCAGCACTTTGGGAGGCCGGGACGGGTGGATCATGAGGTAAGGAGATCGAGACCATCCTGGCTAACATGGTGAAACCCTGTCTCCACTAAAAATACAAAAAATTAGCCGGGCGTGGTGGCGGGCGCCTGTAGTCCCCGCTACTTGGGAGGCTGAGGTGGGAGAATGGCATGAACTGGGAAGGCAGAGCTTGCAGTGAGCCGAGATCACGCCACTGCACTCCAGCCTGGGCATCAGAGCACGACTCCGTCTCAAAAAAAAAAAAAAAGAAAGAGACTGATTTGATGTGGACCATGAAATCACAGAGATCAGTCGTATCTGCACTCAAACCCCAGCTTTGCCACGTACTAGAAATGTGACTATAGGCAAACTATGTAGTATTTCTGAAACTCCCTTTCCTATCTCTCTCTCCAACCTCACTGCTCCTATCATTC